AGTTCCTGTCTATAATAAACTCAGATTAGGACCCCCACATCTGCCAAAGAATGTGCTGCTAAAGAACTGGGGAGCCAGGTGGGCTGCTAAAGAGCTGTGGAACCTGGAAATCCATAAAGCCCTGTATCTAAAATTCCCTGACAGACTGACTGCTTAGGAGCTGCCGAGATCAGCTGGATGAGTTGTAAGGAAATGAGGCTGTCTGGCCAGCTAGCTTGTCTGGTTTCTATCACATGTTTTTTAATAATTTTTGATAAACTATAATGTTAGAGCTGCAAATTCAAGTACTCCAAAGTTAAGAAAAGCCAGAATTAATTTGACTCTGTACATGTGCGTTATGATATGATCTTAAATTATAGGATCGCACACTGTTTTGGGTGGGGGAGGATCTAGATTCCAAACTCATCCAATGCATAATACATTCAGATAATGAAGAAGCAAGAGCAAAACTAACTATGCTGCATTTGTATAAATTGTGATTTCCCATAGTTTGGGCAAATTGACTGATTTCCATGTGAATGGAAAAAAAGTATTTTGTATTTTCTGCCTGCCAAATTTCAAGACCCAAACTGTAGAAATGTTAGAGCTGTTGAGAAGAACAGTTGGAATGTGTTTTTCATAATACTAACAAAATTACCTCTGCCACTAACCTCACTTTTTGAAACTGGTTAACCATTTTTGATAAAACTTTAAAAGGAAATTTAGCCTGAGGCATAGAGCAAGCATGGAAAATAATATCCTGAATGCTTAAAGTGTGGCAAAGTTATAAGAAATTGAACATAGGGGCTTATAATAGAAAGTGTTAAGGCTCTTTACCAATACACTATTCTAGGAAATGCTACCTATTTCACCTACAATAAAAAAAGATGTGAGGGGCATATTTGTGATATTTTCCAAAACGCTAGACATCTGATAGGGTATGTCTACACTACAAAGTTAATTTGAACTAACAGACGTTAGTTTGAATTAACTTTGATAGGCACTACACAGGCAAACCGCTAGTTCGAACTTAATTCGAACTAGCGGTGCGCTTAATTCGAACTAGGTAAACCTCATTCTGCGAGGACTAAGGCCTAGTTCGAATTAACTAGTTCGAATTAAGGGCTGTGTAGCCACTTAATTCGAACTAGTGGGAGGCTAGCCCTCCCCAGCTTTCCCTGGTGGCCACTCTGGGCACCACCAGGGAAACTCTTCTGCCCCCCTCCCAGCCCCGGACACTTAAAGGGGCACGTGCTGGCTACGGTGCCCTTGCCAGGTGCAAGCCTGCCAGCACCCAGCCAGCAGACCCTGCACCTGGCCTGGCTCCAGCCAGCCCCCCCC